CCAGCGACTATTTCCAGGCAAAAGCTTTGGCTGCACTGGTCAAACATTTTGGATGGCAGTGGATTGGAGCCATACAGTCAGACAATGATTATGGACGTAATGGAATTCTTGCCTTTAAGGAGGAGGTTGAAAAGTTTGGGGTTTGTGTTGCTTTTGTTGCATCAGTTCTACGCACGTACACAAGAGATGAATTTCTAGAAGTTGTGGAAATAATTAAACAGTCGTCTGTCAAAGTAATTTTAGCTTTTTCTGTTGATGGTGATTTTTATCCTTTGATGCAAGAGATTGTGAACCAGAACATTACAGGAATTCAATGGATTTCTTGTGTGGCTTGGATAACATCATCTCGACCATCCACGCCTGAAATGTATAGATCCTTTGGTGGAACAGTGGGATTTGTAATGCAGAAGATGGCTATTCCTAAGCTTAATCACTTTCTTACAAGTATTAGTCCTTATACAGATCCAAATGCACCTTTCGTGAAGGATTTCTGGGAGATTATCGTGGGCTGCACACCTGTTTTGCCAGGGGTACATGCAGATACTGAGGACACAACCAAAAGATGTACAGGCAATGAAACATTAATGAATTCCGAGAATGATTTCTTCAATGTCACAGAGCTCAGAGTGACCTATAATGTCTATAAAGCGGTTTATGCTATTGCACATGCTCTGCATCAGCTGGTATTTTGCCAACCAGTTGGAGCACAAACAGTAAAGCGATGTTTAAACCTGACAGATATTCAACCCAAGGAGGTGAGAAATAGTGCACCTGAAAGCTACAATCGTTGAAATTGTTTAAACAAAACCAATAATTGAATATTTATATGTATCTAATGCATTATCTTTTCCTCTCTAGGTCAGTAAAAAATTACAAAGGGTGAATTTCACAAATCAGTTTGGTGATGAGGTGTTTTTTGATGAGAATGGCGATCCTACTGCTTCTTATGATGTCATTAACTGGCAGTTGATAAATGGAAAAGTGCAACATGTGACACTTGGTCATTTGACATTTGCTGCAAATGGTGATTACAAGCTCAGCATCGAGGAGGAAAAGATAGTGTGGAGGACAGGGAAAAAAGTAATCATGATGTCTCTCTATTTTACATGCAGTACACTTTTAGTATCTCATCCTTTAGTATTCTCTTGTTAACACATAATCATTTACAGCTACAATATTTAAATATTTCTTTTGTCACAGGTCCCCACATCGGTGTGTTCTAATGTTTGCCCAGTTGGAACCAGAAAAGCTCAAATTCGGGGAAAACCTATATGTTGTTTTGACTGTGCACCCTGTGCTGATGGAACTATAGCCAACTCAACAGGTAGACAAGGGATCAATAACAAGAGTGCATGTCCCATATTAAGTTAAAAGTGTACAATTTAACATGCTTGTTTAGTGTCTACATATAACTAATATTTAAAATATTGACTTACTGCATGATATGATTTTATTAAAAGTAATTTTAATTTATTACTATTCCAAGTACAATTGTATATTCTATTAAAATGTTATCTACATACACCACTGACCCTTTCTGTTTATCCTCAACAGGTGCAGCAGACTGCACACCTTGTCCAAAGGAATACTGGTCCAATGAGAGAAAAGATGATTGCATTCCTAGAACTATTGAGTTTCTGAAATATCATGAGCCCATGGGAATAGCTCTAACACTTGTATCCCTGTTAGGGGCCTCTCTCTCCTTGGCCACAATGGTGGTTTTTATCAACTACAGAGAAACTCCTGTGATAAAAGCCAGCAACTTTGAGCTGAGCTCTCTCTTATTATTCTCTCTTTTTCTGTGTTTTCTCTGTCCTCTCACTTTCCTTGGTCGACCAACAGTCTGGACATGCATGCTGCGCCACACCGCTTTTGGTGTGACATTTGCCCTTTGCATTTCCTGTGTCTTGGGAAAAACCATTGTTGTTGTCACAGCCTTCAAAGCCACATTTCCTGGTAACAACATTGCTGGAAAGTTTGGTCACGCACAACAAAGAATCATCATTTGCTCCTGCACTTTGATTCAAATAGTAATATGTGTGTTGTGGCTGAGTTTAAACCCACCTTACCCACATATGTTGTTCACATACAGCAATAAGATTATTGTTCTTGAATGTAATACAGGTTCTCAGGCTTCTTTTTATGCAGTTTTGGGATACATAGGTGTCCTTGCAATCAT